CATTAATCATGGGAGATTTACATTATCAAGGCATTGATTGGTCAAGAGGGACTAGTAGTACAGTTAAGGTAAACAGGTATTGGAACCTGTTAAATGATAATTGACTACCTCAACTAGTAGAAGCACCAACTAGAAGAGATGCTTGTCTGTATCTTGCCATAACGAATAATGTTGACTTATTTTAAACATTTCAAGTTAGGGAACACTTGGGAAATAGTAACCATAATATGGTATTATTTGAGATTAACTTGAAAAAACAAAATTATACAGGATGTATAAAAACACTTAATTTTAAAAAGGCTATATAAAAACGACACAGGCATCTTTACAACTAATTGACTTGCAGGAAATATTCAATGGCAAAAACACAGAGGATACATTGAAAGTATTTAAACAAATTCTACAAAAGTACGTTTTTCAATACATACCATTGTGAAACAAATACAAAAGAAGCAAATTAAAACCAATATGGGTTAGTACAAGTCAGTAAAATGATAAAAGATAAGAAAAGGGCATTCAAAACAGTTAAATCAGATTGCATCCTATAGCATAAATACGCATGCTAGTAGGGCTTGCAAAAGCATGATTAGATAGGCTGAACCTGAAAATGAAATGTTCATAGCCAAAGAGACCAAGCCAAAAATTTTACTGCTAAACATATTAACCGTGAAAGTGTTAGTCCATTGGCTGATGGCTGAGTTAATCAAAGACAAGGCAGAAATTCTGTAAAAAGTAATTATTTTTCTTCAGTATATTATTAATATTATCCCCATTTCAGTATGTAGTGACAGTATATAGTGAAGAAGAATATATGGCTGTTGATTTACAAATCCCTGTTACAAAAGCCATACATTAAATGGGTGATTGGTTAACACAGGATAACATGCTTCAGAAATTTAATAAAGTTAATATAAACAAAGGGCCAGATGGTATTCACCCAAGTGTGCTTAGGGAGCTTAGTGTAGAAGTATCCATACCACTGTTTTTCATTTTTCAGGAATCTTTTCTCTCAGGAATTGTACCAGAGGATTGGAAAAAAACAATGTGGTTATATGCCTACATTTAAAAAGAGTTCAAAAACTCAACACAGAAACTACAGACCTGTGAGCTTAACATATGTGGTAGGGAAATTATTTAAAGGGCTGTTAAGAAATAATCAAGAATTCTTTTTTTTTTAACAAAAACAAAAATTTAATTAACAGGAATCAACATAGTTTTATGAAATACAGGTCATGCCAAACTAACTTAATTGCATTCTATGAAGAAGTTAGTAGAAATATAGATCATGGTGATCAGGGTACATGTGATCTACATGGATTTTGCTAAGGCATTTGATACAGTTCCACACAAAAAGTTACTAGTAAAACTTAAGTCTGTTTAGATTTTTTTTAAATGATGTTCTTTTAGAGAAGATTTACCATTCGAATACTGGTCGGAATTGCACTATCTCTGTATGTTATTCTTATTTTGACAGAGATGTAAATCAAACATTTGACTTAATGCTAAAATGAGAGAGGGAATTAGGTAAGTGGTTTAGTTTTGTATCAACGTAAAAGGGCATTACACAGTGTGTGCAACATCTAGAATCCCACTACAAAATAATTTATTGATGTTATCTCACTCCTTCCAGGCTCGTTAAGTTATAATTATCCCATACAAATGCATGTTGGAGAAAGTGTGGCCAGGTGGGATCTGTATGTCATATATTGTGGACATGTCCTAAGATTATATCATATTGGAAATCTATTCATGACCTAATTAATAACATCACTGATTCCATCCCAGCCTTAACCAGAACTTTGATTATACAAGAACCTCCCTAATAATTTGCACAAATATAAAAATATTATGTTATGACATTTATTAATCTTGGCAACAGCAGCTGTTCCCAGCTACTGGAAATCTTCATGATTCATGAAGTTTTGCATTTCGTATTTGAAAACAAAAGGTGCAAATTGAAATTATTTCTAAAATGGACATTTGACATTATAACTATTCAATTTCACTACAGTTAAGAGTTTAGTAAATAAACTCCACTCTGGTTTTTATTGCCTCTCTCACTATGACTCCAGTTCTCTGTCAGTTTCTCACACTCACTCCATCTCTCAACTACTGTCTGTCTTGCTCACCTGGAGTATTCACTGAACAAGGAGTTTCAATAATTGAAAATGGAATAACCATTTTTTAGCCAAAATAACAAGAGCTGGAGTAAGGTTCCCTGGGGCACAGGCAGGTGTCAAATTGGGTGCCCCTCCTAGAGCACTAGGCTCTGCTTCTGTGAGTGATGTGTGTTTGTAGTGGTTTAGTGTTATGTGTGATAGTGCGTGGATTAGGGGGAGATTGTGTTTGTGTGTATGTGCGTGCGTGTGGAGTGTGAGCTGCATTTCTGGTGGTTCAGTGGGGAGTTTCCTGGTCTGCTCCAATATCGGGTGCCAATCACTTTAAGAGCACCTGTAATGTTTTCTGTACCTGATATTGGTAAAGGCTGTGCAGTCTGAATGAGGACCCTAGGCTGCCACCTAATGGGTATTTAGTGAATAACCTTGACTGAAATTCGCACTGTCCATACAGGTATCTCTATTTCACTGACTGTCTTCTCAGTGTATTCGTCTTGCTCACTTACTGTCTCATACGGAGACTCCACCACTCTCTCCATATTTCATTGGATCCATATCTCCCTCATTGCCCTACTTTCTCTGAGCCATCACACAATTCCTGCAAGCATCACCAAAGAATAACAAACATGCATGAGTAGTAAAAAGCAACAGGAATTCAGCACTAGGGCAGTGCCATTCTGTAAAATGGCATCTGGGCATCACTAACTAGCCTCTGTTTTCAGTAATATTTATTTGGAGATCTGGTAGCCTTGTCTTGACTCATTTTAAAAAGTCTAAATCAGCGGTTCCCAAACTGCCAAGATGGGCATACAGAGGCGCCGCAAAATAATTTCCCAGGAACTGTGCCTTGCTCTCCCCTGCTGGCTCTGCAGTACTGGTGGGGAGATCAGATATCTCCCTTACTGGCCTACTAGCACTGAAATGCTGCAGCCGACAGAGAAGGGAGTGAGGACCCTGGGAAGCGCTAACTTGCAGCTCCCCTTTGTTCTCCTCTCGTGAGTTTGGAGCTATGCCGAGGCTACAATAGCAACACTTCGAATCTCGGGAGAGTGATCTCTTGCCTCAGGAGCTGCTTAGAGTTGACTCTCACCACATGGTTCACCAGGGCTTCTCCACCGGACCACCAGGGTTTAGTAATGTCCCCCCTCCCAGGCAAAGATAAGAAGGGAGGGGGGTAATGAAAATAATATTTTTTTGTAATTAAAAAAATGAAGTATATATTTATTAATCTGCCCTTCAACCCCTACATAACTCCCTTCATACACACACTGCCCCATATACATACATTGTACCTCCATGCACACATACTGGCTCCCTATACACACTGCCCTCCATACACACACATTGCCCCTTCATACACACACACACTGCCAGTCATACACATACATTGTCCCTCCATACCCAAACACTGTACCCCTCACACACATTGCACCCCATACACGCACACTGCCCCTCCATACGCACACTGCCCTCCATACACACACATTGCCTCTCTATACACACACTGTACCCCTCACAAACACTGCACCCCATACACACACACTGCCCCCTATATACATACATTGCCCATTCACACACACACTGCCCCCATACACACATACACTACCCCAATACACAAACTGCCCCAATACACAAACACTGCCCAGATACAAATACATTGCTCCTCCACACACTTTACCCCTCACACATAATGCCCCCCAATACACACACTGCACCCCCCCACACTGCATCCTTCACACACACACTGCACCCCTCCACACACACACAGACACACAAACACTACATCCTTCACAAACACAATGCAAGCCTGTACACACACTGCACCCCTCACATGCACACACGCACACAGATATTGCACCCCTTACACACACACTTCAACCCTCACACATAATGCCCCCAATACACACACTGCACCCCCCACACACTGCATCCTTCACACACACACTGCACCCCCCACACACACACAGACACACACACACACACTACATCCTTCACAAACACAATGCAAGCCTGTACACACACTGCACCCCTCACATGCACACATACACAGATATTGCACCCCTTACACACACACTTCAGCCGACACACATTGCACCCCACACACATACACCACTGCCCCATCCCCTACTACAGCCCCTATCCTGGCAGACCCCAGGTAAGTTCTTAAACTGTGCAAACAGTTTGACTACTTACCCTGGGAGGGTACTACGGAACTCCTTGCACCATAACCATTACAGAGTGCTGTAGTGGTTATTGTGCCAGAATTCTTTCTTTAAATAATTTGTCAGTGCCCCTCCCAAGATTAGGTACTGGATTCGCCCCTGACCGGGAAACATTTCTTCTGAACAGGGGCCCAGTATACGCCACAGCGCTTTACATATATACAACCTAGAAATTGGTTTTGACTTGGGGCACCTTGGAAAAATATTGAAATGTTAAGGGTGCCTTAAACCTAAAAAGTTTGGGAACTACTGGACTAGATCCTCCTGTGAAGAAACCCCATTGTTCCCTATGTTATTTACTGTTTGCATTCCATTTTTATCCTCTATTGCTGCCTATTGCATTCGGTAGATGAAACTACCGAACAAGGACTACCCTCTGGCTCAGTAAACATCAAAGGTTTAGGTGAAATTGCTACCTCTGTCTGTGCGGCCAGCGTTCGTTAGTCGAACGCCACGTGACAGAGAAAACAACGGCCATCTTTGTTCATGCGAACAAAGGCAGCGGGACCTGGTCGTCGAGTGCATGGAACTGTTTTACGGACACTCGACTTCCCGAACACCGGTCCCAAACAGACAAACGCTGAAACTCTATTTACCGAATAGCTAGAAGAGCGCTGTAAGGAAACCAAGTACATTTAAACCTTAATCGGTAGTTTCCTCCCGAACAGCCAGAGCCCAGTGAATATAGCCCTCCGTTCAGTAGTTATAGTAGACGAATTCCCAATTGTAAATCCAATAGTGTTCCTGGATAATTCCCACAGTAAAACACACGAACTCCCAAACAGCATACGTAGTCAGAATAAGGGTACAAAGATGAACTGTTTATTGGCACACAAAGAACCTTCTTTTATGCAGGTCCCCATGCAAGGGGACATCCCACAGGGTGGGACACAGTACAACCAATCACACAATGGTTACATCCCACACATCCCCTCCCCTTAGCCTGAGAGGTAACCCAATTATCCATACATTTTAAAACACACTTTTTACCCAACTTTCATAACTCCAAAACCATACATCCAATATTAATCAATCACATATTATTAATCAGCACATCCCAAATACAAACATACCCAAAAATCATGCAAATCCTTCCATTAGTTCAAAAGTTAGTTAGAAGTCCTTTGTGACCAAAGGAAGCATGGCTTTTCTGCCCAAACCAGTTCCCACTGGTCTGGCAGTGTCCCTGGGACAACTCCCTGCTTGAGAACAATAGACAGGAAATGGGGGAGGGGAAGAAACACACCTTCCCATTGATTCCAATGGGAAGAAACTGTCTTTAGAAGCCAATAAGCCCCAAAGTTTGGATTTATAAAGGGGTGACAGGGTGGTCTGCATTCGGTAGTTTTACCTACCGAATGCCATAGGGAAACATTGCTATTGACACAAATACAAAGAGGGCATATACAGAATAAAAAAGGCATTTCTTCACACTGCTCCCCTATAAGTCCATAGGTCGGCATACCCGCCAAGACCCTGACGGGTTGGCTTGGGGATGTCCGAGGGGCAACAACGAAACAGTCCAGGTTAAGTATCCAATTCCGTTTGGCGGGACAAACCGTCTGCATTACCATTTTGTTTGCCCGGACGATATTGCATGGTGAAGTTATACGGTTGAAGGGCTAGGCTCCACCGTAAAAGTCTAGGGTTGTCGCCAGCCACCCGGTTTAACCACACCAACGGGTTGTGGTCGGTCATCAGAGTAAACGGCCGGCCGTACAAATAAGGTTGGAGTTTCTTAAGGGCCCACACCAGGGCTAGGCACTCCTTCTCCACGGTGGCATAGCTGACTTCCCGGGGCAACAGTTTACGACTTAGATAGGCCACCGGGTGTTCCATGCCGTCGTCTCCCACCTGGCTTAACACGGCTCCCAGCCCAAACATGGAGGCATCTGTGTGGACAAGAAATTGTTTAGAGTAGTCTGGTGCTGCCAACACAGGAGCCTCACTCAATGCGGTTTTCAGTTTCTGGAAGGCTGCCGCGCACTCTGGGGTCCAGGTAACCTGTTTGGAAAGGGCCTTTTTGGTGAGATCAGTGAGGGGTTTGGCCAGGGCGCTATAGTCGGGGACAAATTTCCGGTAATAACCGGCTGTTCCTAAGAAGGCTAAGACCTGGGTCTTAGTCCGAGGTTGGGGCCAATTCGCTATGGCCTCTATTTTGGCAGGCTCAGGCCGCTGTTTACCTGACCCTACCCTGTGGCCGAGGTACTGTACCTCCGCCATACCCACGTGACATTTGTCTGGTTTCAACGTAAGCCCTGCTTGGTGAATTCTCTCGAGCACCCTGGACACGTGGCCTAGGTGGTCTCCCCATGTGCGGCTGTAGACAGCAATATCGTCTAAATACGCACATGCGAAGTCCTGGAGTCCCTCCAGGAGCCTGTCAGCCATCCGCTGAAACGTAGCCGGGGCATTCTTCATCCCAAAGGGCATAACCTTGAATTGGTAAAGCCCAAAAGGAGTGACGAATGCCGACTTGGGGATGGCGGCAGACTCCAGGGGGATCTGCCAGTACCCTTTGCACAAATCCAGAGTGGTCAAGTAATTACCTCCGGCCATACGGTCCAGTAACTCATCTATTCTGGGCATGGGGTAGGCGTCTGTTATGGTGCGGTCGTTGAGCCTCCGGTAGTCTACACAGAAGCGTGTGGTGCCGTCACGCTTCGGTACTAGTACTACCGGAGAGGCCCAAGGGCTTTGAGAGGGTTCTATTACCCCTAACTTGAGCATGTCGGCAAGTTCTGCCAGCATGCTCTCACGCACGGCCTCGGGAATGCGGTATGGCGGCTGCCGTAGGGGCGTCTCTCCCTGGGTATCTACCCGGTGTACCGCAGCGGAGGTATAGCCTGGGATGGCAGAAAACATGCCCTGGTATTCCCGGAGTAAGCCGGCCGCTTCCTGTCGCTCTATAGGTTGTAGGTTCTGACCAAGACTGACCTGGTCAATACTGCAGGGAGAGGAGTCTAACAGATCGGGGAGTGGGAGTCCCTCGCTATCTTCGGAAGAGGGGGCGCATACAGCGCCGACATCTTCTGTCCGTTCGTAGTAAGGCTTCAGCATGTTTACATGGAAGACTTTGGTCAGTCTCTCATCCAAACATTTGCTTACAATGTAGGTGGTATCGCTCATTCGCTCCACCACCTTGAAGGGTCCCTGCCAGGCCGCCTGGAGCTTATCCCTTTTGGCGGGTCTCAAAGCTAATACTTTTTGGCCCAAGTCTAGGACTCTGTCCCGGGCACCCCTGTCGTAGCACCTCATTTGGCAGTCCTGGGCCGCCTGCAGGTTCTCCCGAACTGATTCGGTGAGAGTTCGCAGCCGGTCGCGGAACTCCAATACGTATTGGACTATAGGGATCCCCCCATCATCCGTGTTGCCCTCCCAGTGCTCCCGTACAAGATCCAGGGGGCCCCGAACTTTTCTCCTGAACAGGAGTTCGAAGGGGGAAAACCCTGTGGATGCCTGGGGCACCTCACGATAGGCAAACAGAAGATGGGGAAGATACCTCTCCCAGTTCCTGCAGGACTCTGCAAACGTTTTTAGCATTTGCTTGAGCGTGCCGTTAAAACGTTCACAGAGACCGTTGGTCTGGGGGTGATATGGGGCGCTAAAGAGGGCTTTCACTCCACAGCTCTGCCACAGCTGTTGTGTCAGGAGAGCTGTGAACTGAGTCCCTCTGTCGGATAGGATCTCCTGGGGGAAACCTACCCGGGAGAACACTTTGACCAGGGCCTCAGCTACCGTTTCGGCCTCTATATTGGGAAGGGCTACGGCTTCGGGGTACCGAGTGGCATAGTCCACTATGGTGAGTATGAACCTTTTACCAGACTGACTGGGCCGACTGAGGGGTCCTATTAAATCTACCGCTACCCGGTGGAACGGCTCTTCTATGATGGGTAACGGGTGGAGCTTTGCTTTTTGGTGGTCACCCCGTTTCCCTATTTTCTGGCAAACGTCACAGGTCCTGCAATAGTATTTGAGGTCTTGAGTGATCCTGGGCCAGAAGAAAGTTTGGGTCAGGCGGTCCCTAGTCTTCTTAACCCTTAAATGTCCGGCTAGGGGAATATCATGGCTGAGTCTTAGTAACTCAGCCCGAAACTTGCGGGGCACTACTAGTTGTCTTTTAGTAGCCTGTGCGGTTCCGTGTCCCGCCCCATCTGTCACCCTATATAACAGTCCCTTATGACATTCAAACTTTTCGTGGGGGTTGTCGCCCCTATTGTCCCCTACTGCTTTTCTATACCCGGCTAGAGTGGGGTCAGTCCTTTGTTCCTGCTCAAACCCCTGGGGAGTATCCCAGAATGAGGGAGGGGGGTCAATTCCTACCTGGGTTTCCTCAGAGTGCAGCGGTGCTTCCAGTCTGGCTTGAGCTCGGGTGGTAACCGGATACGCCTCAGCTGTGGTGTCTCGGGCTAACTGGGAAGTTAAACAGCCCACATCATTCCCCAACAGTGCTTCGGCTGGTAGCTCCTGCATAATGCCAACCTCTAGTTGTTTAGATCCCGAGCCCCAATCCACAAGAACTTTAGCCGTGGGTAATTTGTGGATGGCACCCCCGGCGACCCTTACTGCCACAGTGCGGCCCGTGTGAGTTTGAGCCTTGACAGTGTGCGGTTGAACCACAGTTAACGTGGCCCCAGAGTCTCTTAAGGCGCGGGCCCCCACAGCGTCTACCGTAATCCATTGACGGTGGTGGTCCCGGTTGTCACAGGGTTGACTTCGTGCAACACACTCCATTGTTCCTCGTGGGGAGGTACCCATGATGTACTCTCCTGCTGTACACAATGAGCAGCGGCCCTGGGTTGTGACTGTGGAGGTTGCCTTTCCCAGCTTCCCCGGTTTAAACGTGGGCACTGATTTTTAAAGTGTCCTGGTTGTTTGCAGTAGTGACACACTGCAGGTTGTCGGGGTGCTGCTGCTGGGTTGTGGGGCGAATTACTCAGGGGGGCTCTAGGTGGTGCAGCTGTGGTTGGGGCTGAATAAGGTTGTTTAAACGCAGTTCGGCTCACCCCTTGTTCTCGCCTCCGGTTATCCTGGTATTCATCTGCCAGTCTTGCTGCCTCCTCCACAGTTTTAGGCTTCCTGTCTTTAACCCAGTCCTTGATATCCTCTGCGGTATGGTTAAAAATTGTTCTAATAGGAGGAGTTGTAACGCATCCTCCAGAGTGGTTGCTTGGCAGCCCTTCATCCAATTTCGGGCTGCCCTGTGTAGCCGGAATGCCCATTCAGTATGGGTATCCCTCCCTGTTTTCCTCAGTTCCAGGAATTTCTTTCTGTATGCCTCAGGGGTAACCGCATATCTAGCCAACAAAATGTATTTTATCTTTCCATAATTATGAATATCTTCATCAGGTACTGCTCGTGCTGCTTCTGATGCTCTGCCTGACAACTTGCTGTTCAGTACTGCAGCCCATTTGGTGGAGTCTAATCCCTCCAGTGCACATTGCCTTTCAAAGTCTTGCAGATAACTATCAATCTCCATTTCATTGTCATTAAAGTTTTTAAATGCAGCATAATTTACCTTTTTCGGCATGTCATTTGTACTTCCCGGGGAGTGTAGCAAATCCCCCGGTAGTAGTCTGTCATCTCACTCCTTCTGTGCTTGCCTGGCTTGTGCCATGACCTGCAGCATCGCCTCTGTTGCTGGATTAGGTCCCAATAAACTGAGCATCCATCTGATGTCCTTCTGCATCACCGTTTCTTCCTCAGGTTCCATTTCTGTAGTGCTGGTTCTGTCGCCCTGTAACAGCTCTGCAATTAACGTGGCTTTTGTTTTATTGCTTGCTATTACGCCTCGAGCTTCCAGCAAATCCTTAAGCGTGGTTCTTTTAAGCTGTTGGTACTGCTGCGCCATTCATTCCTTTGCTTGCTTTAAA